ACATTGTCCTTGATGGCAAGGAAACTTCTGTTAGAAGGTAAATCCATCTGGTTCAGTTCCAAGCTGGGAGAAAGATACTGGAAATAAAAAGGAGGCTGGAGGCCAATTGGAAAGAAAAGTCTGTTTATTGATGAAGTAGAGTCACCAACCACATATGATATCAATAGTAGAGACCTTCAAATTTCTAGGTTCTATCATATCACAAGACCTACAATGGATACCTAACATCAAAAACGTCATTAAAAATGCACAACAAAGAATGTTCTTTCTGAGCCAACTCAGGAAGCTCAAACTGCCCAAGGAGCTGCTGATCCAGTTCTACGGAGGAATTATTGAGTCTGTCATCTGCACCTCTCTAACTGACTGGTTTGGTTTTGCAACCGAACAAGACAGACACAGATTTCAGACAGTAATTAGGACTGCAGAAAAAACAATTATTATCAACCTGCCTTAAATCAAGGACCTGTATACTGCACGAGTCAAAAAGAGGGCTGTGAAAATACTTACAGACCCCTCACAACCCGGACATAAACTGTTCCAACTCCTTCCCTCAAAATGATGCTATAGAGCACTGCACACCAGAATAACTAGACACAAGGACAGTTTTATCCCAAACGCCATCACTCTGCTAAACAAGTAATTCTCCCAACACTGTCCAACTATTTACTAAATCTGCATTACTATTACTATTAATCCTCCCATCCTTCCTTTCACCCATCCCCTCCCACTTGTGAATGTATGACTATAACCTTGGTCACTTGTATCCTTACGATTTATATTGACTGTTTCCTAGTATGATTTGATTGCCTATTTGTACCCTATGACTATTATTAAGTGTTGTACCTGATGATTCTTGACTATTGACGAATGTATCTTTTCTTTTATGTACACTGAGAGCATTTGCACCAAGACAAATTCCTTGTGTGTCCAATCACACTTGGCCAATGAAGAATTTTATTCTAGTCTATTCTGGGACAGCTGACCCAATGGTTGAATGGATGGATGGACCTTTACAGGTTTCTGTGACTTTGAAGTTTGAACTGTTCTGGGGGTTGTGCAACGAAAGGGCTTTTGTTCTGAAAGGATGTTGGGCAATTCCTATTGTGGCTAATGGCTTTCATCCTGTGTTGGATCTTGGGTGAGGAGCTACTTGTTCTAAACCTATGGCTCTGCTTTTGTTAGCTGGCAAACTTTGCTGCAAGGAGTTTTGAAATATCCTGTCTTGAATGGGCTTCTGCTGGCAGCTTTTTCTTTGCTTATGACTGCAGTCATCTAGCTAGTTGGCATCCTCTTTCCATAAGTTCTTTTATCTCCTTAAGTGCTGGGATCTGCTGTGGGTTAATAAGAGAGAAAGGGGGACTGCTTTCTGTCTCTAAAACCATGTTTCTCCATTTCTCCTTTAGGGAGATATAATATTCTGTCTTTTTTTAATATTTACCAAAATATTTCATTATGCGGGGGTGGGGGGGGGTGGGACTTCCCACACTTTGAAAGTTGCATAGCTACCTCCTGTGCATGATTTGAATAAGCTGGTTGAGTGACAACTTGTTCAATTGTTTGTATCAAATGCTGCCTCTGCCAAGCTCAGATACATTTGGATAATACCTCTTCTGCTTCTTCATCCTTGACAAACCTGCCTTCTTCTAGGCCAGAATAAAGAAATAAAAGCTAAAGCAATTACCCCAGGCCATCATTTAAAAACTAATCTCTGCTTTTTTTTATTACAGGCCCAGAATTAACAGCTGTAAAACAAGGACCTGTTACACTGTGGTAACACTAGATAAATTTGCTGCTCTTCACTTGTCCATATATCTAGCAAATCTCTCTCTCTCTCTCTCTCTCTCTCTCTCTCTCTCTCCTGTGCTTTCTGCAGAACAGATGGTTCCCAAAGAAGGAAATAAAACAGTAAGAAAAGTTCTCGAGGATTGAGAGGGAAGATCAGCCCAGCCTCACCTTCTGGTTTTGGGTGACATCTGGAGAAGCAGGAAATAAAATCTGAAAACAATTGCAATTCATATTTCACAGGAGATTCTTGACATAAGCATGGTTTTGCTTTGCTTTGCTGTGGTGTAACTTATGTAAAGCCAGACTATTCTGTTCCTTTTGTTGAGACAGACCTGGTTAGAAGTCTCCAGTTTATTTATTGGGGGTTCTTATTAAGGAGAGCATCTGTGCCTGAGTAGAAGAATCAAGCATCGTTGAGGTTGATTCTTCAGGTCCCAAAACGACCTGGGAATGTATGCAGGACAGTTATGAGGAAGAAAGGGAGGGAGGGAGGGATAGGAGGGAGGCAGGGAGGGAGGGAGGAAATGAAAAAGTGATAGGGAGAAGAAAGGAAGGGAGGGAGGAGGGGACGAAGGAAGTGGGGGAGGAAGGAAGGAGGGAGGGAGGGAGGAAAGGAGGGAGGAAACAAAAAAGTGATAGGTAGAGGAAAGGAAGGGAGGGAGGAGGGGAGGGAGGAAGGAAGGAAGGAGGTAGAGAGGGATATGAGGAAGCAAGGGAGGAAGGCAGGAAAGGAAGGGAGGAAAGAAAAAAGTGATAGGTGAAAAGAAAGAAGGGAGGGAGGAAGGAATGAAAGAATATCTTTCTTGTAGGTTGACAGAACTTAAACCACTTCTTGCCTTGTTGCTTACAACCACCACATTTGCTTAACAACTGGAATTGGGTATGTCTAGTTTAAGGAAAAGAAGGGCTGGGGGTGATATGAGAGCAGTAATCCGATATTTGAAGGGCTGCCAAAAAAAAGAGGGAGTCAAGCTGTTCTCCAAAGCACCTGAAGGCAGGACAAGAAACTAATCAAGGAGACTGTTATGTCCTGAGGACTCAAGGAGTTCTCACTCAGGTCCACTCACGATGTGTGGGCGTTATTCCCCCATTCCCATTGGTCAGTTCTCCCCAGCAGCCAGCTATAAAAGCAGGCTGCGGGGTCCAACTGGCTGCTGATTGTTGCGAGCCAGTTCCAGGCTTGGCAAGCACGGTCAGCCCTTTATTTGTAAAATAAAGTACTGTTGCACTCATGCTCTGGTTCAGCCTCTCATTGCTCAAACTTAACACTGGCGACGAGGATGGGATGGCTACCAGAAGCACCTTGCAACCGCTGAGTCACTAGCCACCGATCTACAGCCCAGAGAGAGCGATCGGCTGGCAACAAGGGAAACGCTGATCCGCAGCCAGAGAGAGCGGTCAGCTAGCGAAACGAGCGATCAAAAAGAGCAAACGCAGATCCGCAGCCAGAGAAAGCGGTCTGAGTCAAATAGTTAGAAGCGTCTGTAGCCGCTTGTTAGCCCCGCTACGGGGAAAGTGAAGCGCTGCGAGCCGCAGCCGCTCTGCATTTGGCGCGAAATTCAAACGGGTGTCATTTGAATTTCGAGCCAGTAGGAATCACAGCACAGCGCTGTAGAGAGTCACTAACGCCCACTTTTGGCGCGAATCAAGACACCTCCAACGGCTAGCAGCCAACGTGGTAACCCAGAGAGAGAGAAAGAGAGGGTAGCAAAAAACCTCTCCAGAGCTGATATCACTAGTAACTCACGAGCGTTCGTAGTCCCAGAGAGATTTTTTCCGCAGGTAGCCCAGCCGTCCCAGCACCATGAGTTCCAATCCAGTATTCCCGGCGTTTAAACCAGACGAAGAGAAGTGGGAATCGTATAAGAACCGTTTCAATCATTACATCGATGCGGTCGGCCTGTCGGATGCGGGAGAGCATCGGAAAAAATCCTATTTCCTAATCTACTGCGGAGCCACCGTTTACGATACCGCTGCAGCACTCGTGGCGCCGAGAGAATTGAAAAACGTTCCGTGGTCCGAGTTGCTTGAGATCCTCACAAACCACTACGCTCCCAGGCCTTCACAAATCGCCAGGAGGTTCACGTTCCGAATGAGGAAACAATCAAGTAAGGAGACCATCAACCAATATATGGCCGCCCTCAGAACAGCAGCCCTGCATTGCGGGTTTGGAACATACCTGGAGGACATGCTCCTCGATCAACTAGTTTGTGGGGTCAAGGATCTCAACCTACAGAGGCGACTGCTAGCTAAAAAAGACCTCAACCTCACGCAAGCGGTAGAGGAGGCCCTAGCAGCCGAGCTAGCAACGAACTCAGCCACCGAAATTCAGGGCCCAAGCGCCAAGCTAGCAGCATTCCCAGTCCATTCCGAAGAGGTGGAAGCGGAGGAAGGCCACAACGATGAGAACGATGTCCATCGCCTCACCAATGACAGACGGTCGCAGGTAGGGGCCAAACAAGAATACACCGGTCCACCCAAGCACATCACCCTGTGCCTAGCCTGTGGGGGATCACATCAAAGGGCCACCTGCAAGTTTAAAGGAGCCGTTTGCAACAACTGCCATAAGAGGGGGCACATTGCAAGAGTCTGCCAAGCCCCCCAAAGCGCTGCACAAAGACCCCCGTCCTCGCACTCGGGACCACAGAGGCAAGTATTAAACTGTCGCACGCACCGCCTTGCCAGGCGTACTTGCCACTCTGTTAGTAAAATTTCTCTCTCCGTTTCCCTAGAAGGTAAACCGTGCCACATGGAGGTTGACACAGGGTCAGCGCTCTCAATAATCTCGTGGAACACCCTCAAGAGACTCCACCCCAGCCTATCTACTACCCGGCTTCAGAGATGCCAGTTCGGTCTGAAGGACTACCAGGGGAAGGCCATTCCTGTGATCGGCAGAGGCAAGTTCTTTGTCAGTTTTAGAGCTTTTAAAGGCCACCTACCTCTAGTGGTAGTTAACGGCAATCTACCCACCTTATTGGGGCTCGATTGGTTTCCCCACCTCGGCCTAGGGTTAACAGGAGTCCATGCTGTCTCAACCTCAGACACTGACTCCTTATTCGCTGACTACGCAGATGTGTTCAGCGAGGAGCTGGGGTGTTATAATGGAACCCCCATCTCGTTCACCGTTGACCCCCAGGCAGTCCCAATCAGATTAAAACCACGTAGAGTTCCATTTGCTATTCGAGCAAAACTAGACGCTGAATTGGATAAACTACTAAAACAAGGGGTCATTGAGCCAACAGATTTCGCCAAGTGGGAGACGCCCATTGTCACACCCCTCAAAAAAGATGGTAGCCTGAGAATTTGCTCGGACTACAAGACAACAATCAATAAATATTTACAAGTTAGCGCCTACCCCGTGCCCGTCATTCAGCACTTATTGCACACATTCGAACCGGGCAGTATTTTTGCTAAATTGGACATGTCTCAAGCATATCAACAGTTCCCTGTTGATAACCAAACAGCGGAACTTCAGACCATCGTCACTCACAGGGGTGCCTTCCGATGCAAGCGTCTCCAATTTGGCGTAAGTGTTGCCCCGGGTATTTTTCAATCCCTCATGGAGCGGATTTTACAGGGCCTCCCTGGTGTAGTACCCTACTTCGACGACATCTTGGTCTCGGCCAGGGACAGACCCCAACTCTTCCAGAGAGTGCGAGCAGTGTTAGAGAGGTTCAGACAGCATGGCTCAAGTTAAAAAAAGAAAAATGCGCCATTGCCACTAGACAGGTGGACTTTCTGGGTTATAAAATTGACGCCTCTGGCATTCACCCCCTGGAGTCCAAGGTCAGGGCGATCCACGAAGCTCCCACACCGACCTCCAAAACGGAGCTACAAGCTTTCTTGGGGCTCCTAAACTTTTATGCATCCTTTTTGCCCCATAAAGCCTCAGTAGCCGAACCCCTACACAGATTACTAGACAAAAAGTCACCGTGGCACTGGGGGCACAAAGAAGACCAGGCTTTTAACACCGTCAAATCACTACTTACGTCAGAGGCAGTGCTCATACAATTCGACCCCAACCTTCCTTTAGTACTGGCAGCAGACGCATCCCCTTTTGGAATTGGGGCGGTCCTTAGTCACCGACTCGCCAATGGCGCCGAGGCCCCCATCGCCTTTTTCTCCAGGACGCTCTCGGCCACGGAGCGAAATTACAGCCAAATAGACAAGGAAGCCCTAGCAGCTGTTGCAGCCGTGAAAAAGTTTCACGAATTCCTTTTTGGCCACTTCTTCGAACTGGTCACCGACCATAAGCCCCTCCTGGGCCTACTGGCCGGCGACAAACAGACACCTCAAGTCCTCTCCCCTCGGATGACAAGGTGGACACTTTTCCTAGCGGCCTACTCATACAAACTTATCCACCGCCCGGGCAAAACTCTTTCCCACGCTGACGCGCTCAGTCGCTGCCCCTTACCCGCTCCGGCTGAAGACCCAGCTCCTGTCAATGCCATTTTTGAAATCACCCAGTTGGACCTGCCCATCACCGCCCTTGACATCGCCGCCAAAACCAAGGCAGACCAAACGCTCGCCCAGGTGCTCGACTGGGTGAGGAGGGGGTGGCCGGGAGGCAATGTTGATAACAAATTCGCACCCTTTAAGACTCGCATGCAGGAGCTGTCCAGTTTGCAGGGTTGTCTTCTGTGGGGCACTCGAGTGGTCATTCCGACCTCGCTGCGTACCCGAGTCCTGGAAGCGTTGCACGAGGGACACCCCGGCATTGTGAGAATGAAGGCGTTGGCACGCAGCTACGTGTGGTGGCCGGGTCTAGACGAGGACATTGTCAATTGGGTAAGTTCCTGCAGCATTTGCCAGGAATCCCGTCCTGCTGCCCCCATCGCCACCCCTACCAGATGGGAGAGCGCCAGCGCCCCTTGGTCTAGAATCCATATCGATCTGGCCGGCCCCGTGCATGGAAAGATGTTCCTAGTGGTCGTGGACGCTTATTCCAAATGGATAGACGTGGCGCAGCTATCCACGACCACCACACTAGCAATCACCAACGTGTTAACGCGCCTGTTCGTCACACATGGACTACCCAACTCCTTGGTCTCCGATAATGGCCCACAGTTCGCATCAGTAGAATTCAGCCGTTTTGCAGCCAACCTAGGCATTCGCCACATTTTCACAGCCCCATTTCACCCTGCGAGTAATGGGTTGGCTGAAAGGGCCGTCAGGACCACCAAAGAGGCCCTCGCTAGGTTTGGCAGAGATGACTGGCACCACAAACTCTCACGGTTCCTGATGAGCCAGCACTCAACCCCCTGTACAGTCACCAATAAGTCCCCAGCGGAACTTCTGATGGGCCGGCGCCTGAGGACTGTATTAGATAGGCTGCACCCACAATACTGCCCTGACTCTCCCCTCGCTTCCACTTCGGGGGTTAGACATTTTATGTTACAGGAGCCGATATTCGCAAGGAATTTCGCTGGGGACCCACTTTGGATTCCGGGCGAGGTCATCGCCATCACCGGGCCAAGATCGTATAGAGTCAGGCTGGAGGATGGTCGCGTCTGGAGGAGACACATAGACCAACTCAGAAGGCGCCTCAGCAACTTCGCAAACAAGAATCCAGAGTCTCCAGTCGAAGGGGAACCGTCTCATCCGCCACCCAGCCACACCGCACCCAGTGACCAGTCTGCGCCAGCGGTCGTTCCGGTCAGCCCAAACTCGGACAACAGTGCCCAGAGAGTTGACCAACCAGATCCAACCCTCGAGAGCTTGACCCCAGAAACCAACCCGGTGGTTTCCGAGGATGCCCAGTCCAGAGAGAGTGTTGGCGACACTATGCCAGCTCAACCGTCACAGACTGATACCGAACAGTCAGACAATGTTCCCGAGTTGCGCCGCTCCGGGCGCCAACACAAACCCCCCATCTACCTCAAGGACTATGCGTGTTCGCATCTGGGGGGAAGGGGTGTTATGTCCTGAGGACTCAAGGAGTTCTCACTCAGGTCCACTCACGTTGTGTGGGCGTTATTCCCCCATTCCCATTGGTTGGTTCTCCCCAGCAGCCAGCTATAAAAGCAGGCTGCGGGGTCCAACTGGCTGCTGATTGCTGCGAGCCAGTTCCAGGCTTGGCAAGCACGGTCAGCCCTTTATTTGTAAAATAAAGTACTGTTGCACTCATGCTCTGGTTCAGCCTCTCATTGCTCAAACTTAACAGAGACAAGCAACTTGGAACTAAGGAGAAACTTCCGAACAGTGAGAAGAATTAACCAGTGGAACAACTTGCCTCCAGAAGTTGTGAATTCTCCAACACTGGAAGTTTTTAAGGGGAAATCGGACAACCATTTGTCTGAAGTGGTGCAGCGTTTCCTGCTTGTGAAGTGGATTGGATTAAAAGACCTCCAAGGCCCCTTCCAACTTTGGTTACTCTGATTTTATTTTCCTTCGCACTGATAGGAGAGCAAACTCACCACAAGAGAGACACGGATTAAATTGTCCTTTGATCTCTCTTTGATCTCATCCTCACAACGTGGCCCTCTTCCACTCTAGCAAATGTTATCTAGGCGGCATTGATTATAACTTCCCCGCTCTCATCAATCAAGAGCCATAAGTGAATTTGGCTTAGTACAGGTGCAACCGCAGGCTGGAAATAATGCACCACATGATTTTAATAGCTGCTAATTAAAGGAGAAACATTAACAGAGAGAGACCTAATTTGCCATATGTCCTGGTGATACCTGAAGGGCAGGGAAAGGGTAAGTGAGCATTAGATTGAATGAATGAGGTTTCCTAACCCTAATAAAAGACATTAGCATCATCAGAGTTCTTTTGATATATCTACTGTGAACAGCCAGCCTTACCTCCTCAGCATCTGTTGGGATTCAGTTGTGCAGAGCGCATCCAAGTTTTTAAATATCATTATTTCCAACAGATTCCATAATGTAGTTTATGCTGATTCTACTTGATAATCAGGTTAAGGAGGACAGAGCAAAGGGAAATAATATTTTACTCCAAAATAAAAGGATTACGCATTTCAAAAGGAAGTGAACGGTACCCCCATCCATCTAAAGATGAAAATCTACTTGCAGTAAAATGTGTTTTGGAGAGGGGTTTTTTTTAAAAAAAAAATTGTATACCCAATCACATTTCAATTGATGTTAGCAAAGTTTTCCCCTGCTGGGCATTTGTTCCTTTTGTCTAAGGGGAAATATTGTGCAAATCCATTATTGGAAGCTCTGGATAAAGCAGAACCAAATCTCTGCAGATGATTGCTAAGAGAGACTCTAATTCTATTATCATATTGTTCGTAATTACTTTTCTATAACATGTTCCCCAGGATACACTGCAAGAAATTTTGGAGTGTTATTGTCTGTTGCAATAATAATCAGTAGCAATATATTTAGAAAATGTTTTTTTTTTTAAAAAAGAATAATCAACCATTTTTATGATTAAATCAAATATTCAATATCCTAAAAAAAGGATGGTAGATTTCGAGAAGCTAGAATGAACTTCCTAAGCTAAAGTAGCATTTATAAAAGGAAGTTTAGAAAAACAACTTCCACTTGGGGGAAGCTAACCCTCCTAGAAGAATGAGATGTTTTGAGAATTTTTTTTTTTTTAAAAAAGCAAGATAAAATATTTCCCCTAAAAAAGAAATAAAAATCTTAAGAAAGACAGAAGCTCAGAGGCTCAGCTCTCTTCCCCTGCCACAAAGCAGATGCTGAGCTGGGACAGCTCTAGAAATGCAGATTTGGTAATCCATAATCCCCTGCAGCAAGGTCTGGACAAAAGTAGGGTTAACCTACTACCACCTAGCAGCAGAGCTCACCACATGGCACAATCTCCTAAGGACATTGCATCACCCTCCAAATTTCAACCAAACTTAGCTCAGACAACCTACAGACCCTATAACAACCCCTACTACAACCAATAGAATACATGTTCTTGCACAGGAACAGGAAGCTCAAGTGCAAAAAAACCCAAAAGGTATAAATACTCCCCCCACTCTCAACTCCATGTGGTCAGCTGCGACAGAACCCATGTGGCTCTGTTCATCAATAAACCATCTTTCCAGTCAGCCTCCATGTTTCCAGTACCTTTCTCCCAGCTCAGAACTGAACCAGATGGATTTTTCTCCCAACATACTCATTAGGTTTGGTCAACAAGTCTGAAGGCCAGACCCTAATGACCAGATGTTCCCCAGCCTTAGCAACATGTATGGACTTTAACTCTCAGAATTCCTCAGCCAGCCTAGTGTTCCTTCATGGATGACAAGAAGTA